CTGGAGTACGAGAAGTGTGAGAGGAGCTGCAAGATTCAGAAGAAGAACAGAAACAAGTGCCAGTACTGCCGCTTCCAGAAATGCCTCTCGCTGGGCATGTCACACAATGGTGAGTGTCACTGCTGCCCACAGGCCTGGCCACCTGGTGACACGGGGCCAGCTGCCCTCCTGTGAAGGGTGCCCATGGCCTGCTGTGCTTTAGCCCATGGCTCTGCTTGCTCGGGGATCACTCAAATCCAGTGCTTCAAGCATTTGACTCCTCTTCCCCTTTTTCTGTATGAGAAGGGGCTGTTTATTCCCACCATGCAGTGCAGCTCTGGCACATGGCTGTCCCTTATGGACTGGCCCTGAGGGAACTGGACACACAAATTGTTCTTCTGTGCTGGGGCTTTTACACTTCAGGTGTAAGAATCTCAGACCCAGACAAGCAACGGTGTTTATGTGGGAAGCAGGGTTTGAGCAAGAGCCAGAGGAATGGGATGGGAATCTGGTGTGAGGAAGCAGCAGTGGCTGTTTCATGTAGGTGTTAGTGCTGGAGGAACTGCAGCCTGGAGAAGCGTTGTGTTGGTGCAGCTGCAGGTGTTCTCCAGCAGACCTGTCTGTCTGCAGTGGCAGAACAAACTTCTGCCTCTCTGGATGCATCTCCTGGGGTCCCCCTGCTGTCCTGACCCCCAGTTTTGCCCCCCAGCCATCCGCTTTGGGCGCATGCCAGAGGCAGAGAAGAGGAAGCTGGTGGCAGGGCTGACAGCGAGCGAGATCGGCTGCCAGAACCCACAGGTGGCTGACCTGAAAGCTTTCTCCAAGCACATCTACAACGCCTACCTGAAGAATTTCAACATGACCAAAAAGAAGGCAAGAGGTATCCTGACCGGCAAGGCCAGCAGCACCCCAGTAAGTTCCCTCCCAGGGCAGGTGGGGTTGGCTGTGGCCAGCACAGGGGGACTGCTCTCTGGGAGATGCTGCTGTAGCTGTTCCACATGCACCATTCTCACCTGCAGCCAGGTGGGCTCTGCATGTCCTGCCCCTTGCTGGGAAAAATCCCATTGCTCTGCACACTTGTGCTGTGGTGGGTGGGTGCAGATTAGCTGGGCACTGTCAGCCCCAGAGGCAGGGCACAGGAGAGGGACACTCAGACAAACACGACTGTCCTGAGCAGAGCTGGCACCTCGAGTCCCCGCAGCACACTCCTAACTTGCTTCTTGTTCAAGCAGCCTTTTGTGATCCATGACATGGACACCTTGTGGCAGGCAGAGAAGGGGCTGGTGTGGAAGCAGCTGGTGAATGGCATCCCCCCCTACAAGGAGATCGGGGTGCACGTCTTCTACCGCTGCCAGTGCACCACGGTGGAGACCGTGCGGGAGCTCACCGAGTTCGCCAAGAGCATCCCCAGCTTCATCGGCCTCTACCTGAACGACCAAGTGACTCTGCTCAAGTACGGGGTGCACGAGGCCATCTTTGCCATGCTGGCCTCCATCATGAACAAGGACGGGCTGCTGGTGGCCAACGGCAACGGCTTTGTGACCCGCGAGTTCCTGCGCAGCCTGCGCAAGCCCTTCAATGAGATCATGGAGCCCAAATTTGAGTTTGCTGTGAAGTTCAACGCGCTGGAGCTGGATGACAGTGACCTGTCCCTGTTTGTGGCTGCCATCATCCTGTGTGGAGGTGAGCGGGTGCCCTCGGCCGTGCCAGGCTCAGGAAGAGGTGGTTCAGAGCGGGCTAGGGGAGCTGAGCTGCAGCTGGGCTTGAGGTCAGCCAGGGATGTCTCAGGGGCATGAGAGAAGAACTGAACACTTCCAAAACCAAAGCTTCTCTGTGGAGGTGATGCCTGGCAAGCGTGGACCAACAGCAAGGAATGCAGAAGTGGCATCTCCTTGTCTTGTGCTGCTGTGGGATACGTTGTCCAAGGGCACACTTCTCCCCTTTCTAGCTGAAGAGGTTGAAGTGATGGTGGGTGGGTTACAGTCCCTGGCTCCCTTTCCCCAGTAGCAGTGTGTACTTTGGAGGGCTGCACCATGACCCTGCAGCTCCCGTGCTTCCTCTCCACAGACCGCCCTGGCCTGATGAACGTGAAGCAGGTGGAGGAGATCCAAGACAACATCCTGCGAGCGCTGGAGTTCCACCTGCAGTCCAACCACCCGGATGCCCAGTACCTCTTCCCCAAGCTGCTGCAGAAGATGGCTGACCTGCGACAGCTGGTGACAGAGCACGCCCAGCTGGTGCAGAAGATCAAGAAGACAGAGACAGAGACATCTCTGCACCCACTTCTGCAGGAGATCTACAAGGACATGTACTAAGGACCTGTTATTTATGAGAATGAAGCCATGGATTCCCACCAAGACTCTTTGTACAGAAACAAAGAAAACCCTTCCCAGTGTCTTCCATTTCTCCTACTGGAAACTCTTTTCTATGTGACCCTGACGTACGGTACATAGGGCAGGATGCCATCAGGATTTGCAGGTGCCTCCTGCTTGGCCAGGGCTTCCATTAACACACACTAACAAATCTGCAAAGCTGCTGTTCCCCTTCCTGTGGCCCAGCTCTGGCTGCCCAGTTTACATGGCTCAGGCAGCGAGGTCACTGTGACACCTCAGGTCCCCAGGGTGGGGAGCCCTGGTCCTTAGGAGGGCCAAGGGGGTGCAGGGCCAGCAGGGCTGACAGCAGCACTCACAGAGTGTCTGTATTCTCTTGTTTGTTTGCACTCCAAGGACATGGTCCTGAGCCATGAAGTCTGGGACAGTGTGATGAAAGGACATTTCTCTCTTTCCCAAAGAAAAGCTCTGGAGTATTTGAACACGGGTAGGGCTGTCCCAGGGGAGACCCTCAGCTGCAGCCCCCCATGCTCTGCATGTGTTAACTCTGCCTTCCTGGGTGCTGGGTGGGAGCCTTTGCTCCTGGCACCCTCATTCCATAGGGAATGTGTCCCTTGGCACCTCAGTAGGAGAGAGGCTGGGATGGGAAAGTAGGAGGGAAAGGATTTGACTCCTTAAAATTCACCTTCAGAGCAGAGGCACAGAATCCATGGCTTCCACAGGCTGCTCTGCACAGATCTGAGTTACAAAAAAGGTGTGTGGAGCATCAGAGGCCTTGAGCTGGTTAGGGTTTGGCGTCCTGCCTCAGTTTCCCCTCGGTGAAAGGGACCTGGATTGTCACATGCTGCCTGCTCAGAGCAGGAGCACGAGGATCTGTTAGTGCATTGGTTGCAGAGAGCTTTGCAGCTGTAAATGCCAAGGATTTATAAACAGGGAGGGGGTGGTGGGGATGCTCACAATGAGCAGGAGCCTCCCAGTGAGCGTGGCTGTGTCAGGGAAGCTGCCAGTCCCCCTCTGCCACGGCTCCCAAGAGTGGGAGCAGCTCCAGGCTTGGAGGTCTGCCTGATCCCAGCACCATTCTGGGACTTTACCTCACAATTTCTCACAGCTGTAGTGAAACACCACGGTGCTGCCTGGGCCAGGCCAGGCCCCTGGTGTGGGGGCTGTGTCCCTTGGGCTTTGGGCAGGGGGAGGATGCACCTGGGAAGGGCTCAGTTTCCCTTTCAGGATAATGGTGTCCCACCTAAAAGGTGACACTTCCCTGTCTGCAGTCCCCTGTGTCCTGAGCAGCCTTATTAAAAAACTGATATTCCCTAGGAGGGGTTGTGGGAGCAAATTATTCGGTTTTATTTTACTTTCTTCCTCTTCAGGGTAGCAGATTTCCCTGGTGCAATAATTCCTTTAAAACCCAAAGGGGAAGAGCACTGGGCTTTCCCTCCCCATCACAGGGCTGGCCGGTCCCAAACCTCCCCCTGCTGCCACACTCCTCAGTTCGCCGTGCCTCAGTTTCCCTGCCCAGCCCTCCCCTCCCTACCTCGCAGGGGTGTTGGGAATTACCGTTCCTGAAGCACTTTGAAGCCCTCTGGGGGAAGGCACTGGAGACGTGCATGTGCTGGTCGGAGCCCGGGGATTTGTCCTTCCCAAAATCCCGGTGGTGTCCCCACCTCGGTGGCAATGCAGGACTCGTGCCCATCACCTGGGAAACTTTTTGCTCTTCCTTCCTCGACAGTATAACAACCCTCAAACTGAAATGTATATTTTTGCTAGAAGTACAAACTTCCAAGTGTTTTTAATAATATAAATAGTGTCCACAAACTGACTTGACTTTAAATAAATCTGAACTAAATATTTAAGAACCTTTTAGCGTCTCGCATGTCTTTGCTGGGCTTCCTCTCAGCACCTGGGGGCAGCTGTCCGTGGGAGAATTTCCAGCAGAGGCCATGGGATTTGCTGTGGTTTCCAGGGATTTGCTGTGATTCAGGGGCTCTAATTCCCGGATCTCGTACCTGCTGCGCTTTTCTTGCCTGCAAACCTAAAGCAGCAGAAAGAGCCACTCCTGAGCACGATCCCAGACTCGGCTGGAGGCTTCCTGCCCCAGATGTTGCGGGTGGAGCTGCAAATGAGCTGAAAACACCTCGAGAAGGGGAACAATGTGCTCCAGGACAGTCATGTGCTGGCAGCTGGGCTGTCCTTGGCTGCGGTAAAACACCTGAGAATTTGCAAGGAGGAACTGGAGACCCCCCAGGCTCCCCTGTGCCCGGTTTGAGTGCTCCGGGGGAAGCTGTTCCACTGCTCCCCGTCTCTCCCAGGCAGCCGGGGGCACACGGAGCCGTGGTGCTGCTGGGCAGGGGTCCCAGGGGTCCCTGTGTGGTTACCCCAGCAGGCAGCATTACATTATCCATCCGTTCCCAGTGTGATGGGGGAGAGAGCTCAGAAAGAAGTGAAATCCACAGGCTGAGTTAAAAGACAGGACTGAAAAGAAGGGGGAATAGTAATACTAATGGTAAAAGGATTAGAATACACGGAATTTAGTGCTGCAGGCTGGGGTGGTGCCCCCGTGCACGCTCCTCGCTGCAAAGTCCTTGAGCGAGTGTAAACAGCGCTCAGAGCCCGCTGCTATCAGCCAGCCCGGGATTGTCCTCCGCCCCAAACACGTGTCCCAGCTACCGGGGGAAAATGATCCCAGCCGGACCTGGGACTCGCTGAGGCCATAAATAGCCCTTGGAGGTGGCCCAGCCCTCTTCAGTGCTTGGGAAAAGATGGAGGTGGGCTCGATGATGGCATCTGGGCCGTTAAGGGCCGAGGCAAGCTCTCTGAGACCCCTGTGCAGGTAAAGGCTTGAGGATGGGGTGGCTGCGGGCAGCTTTTGGGGGAGACAGGCTGGAGATGGGGCTCCTCGCTGTGGGGGTAGGGAGTGGATTGGGGTGGCCTTGAGCCACCTCCCCGTTTCCCTACCCACCTCCGGAGCTGGGGGTGGGCGGCAGAACTCCAGCCTGGCCCCCCTTCCTGCCTGCCCTTCTCCCTGCCCCAGCCCTCAGTACCTCTGCTTCCAGAGAGCCCCCAGCCCTGTCCTGAGCTTCCTCTGCTCGGCAGTTAGCAGGAGATTAGGCTGGATGGGGCTGGGAGGACCCCCTGGCTCTGCCCTTGGCGAGGGATCCCAGACACCAGCCGGGGGAGCTTCCAAAATACGTCCCCACCCAAATAAAGCTGGTACCGGGGGGATGCTAGGGCAGGGCTGGAGCAGGGTCTGACCCCGTCCACGCTGCTCCCCTGGCTAACAGGAATTTTGCCCGTGGATCCTGTCGGTGGGGCCAGAGCTGCCGCTTCTCACACGACAGAGAATCAGCCCGGGTCTGCAGGTACTTCCAGCGTGGGTTTTGTCGTTATGGAGAGCAGTGCAGGTAAGGAAGGGCTGGGGTGCCACGAGGATGGGCTGGGAGCCTGGAGGAGCCATGCTGAACTGATGGGACCCTCTGTCTCTGTCCCTGGGCTCCTCCAGCTACCAGCACATCCTGGAGGGGCCAGCACCGGTAGGGACACAATATGGCCTGATGCCTCACTGCCACTGGGGCCAGGAGCCTGGCACTGAGCCCACAGCCGTGGACTGGGACCAGGGGGGAGCCCAGTGCACCACAGCCCGCAGCAAGACGTGTGTGGCCTTCAAGTTCCCCAAAGTGGAGGTAGAAGTGGAAGAGAAAGACAAGAAGAACATCCCAGCACTTGCTAACATCCCCCGTGGGGCCATCAGTGGAGAATTTGTCCCCACAAAAGCTTGGGGTGCCTCAGGTAGGTGCTAGACTGCCCAGGGGACCAGTGGGGTGACACTGGGGTGGTTATGGTGAAGGAGCCTGTGCATCTTTCTGCCTATGACCAAGCTGGGCTGTGGAGAGCTCTGCAGTGTGAGGACTGTCACTGCTGAAGCTGCACACTCTGAGCAGCCCACCCAGCTCACTGAGCTTTTCCCCTCTGTGAACTCTCCTCCTGCAGGCTTCCAGCCACAAGGGCCAGCACTGGATCCAGGCTCCTCTGACCCCAAAAAGGCAGTTTTGGATACAGCAACACAGACTGACCCTGCAAAGGTGGGTTTGGGGTCTCCTGTGGCCGGGTACTCCCCGTCACCCTGTGGTGCTCCCCGAGCCCAGGTGACAGAGCCAGGGCGTTGCCATGCTGTGCTGCTCTGCTTGCAGGTCCCTGCAGAGCCAGGTGCTGAGGCAGCCCTGCTCACCAGTGCAGCGCTGAGAGCCCGGAGTGAGGCTGTGGTGTGTGGCATCTGCATGGACAGGGTGTACGAGAAGCCGCTGCCCGAGGAGCGGCTCTTCGGGATCCTCCCGAACTGCAGCCACGCGTACTGCGTGGGCTGCATCCGCAAGTGGCGGCGCAGCCGGGCCTTCCAGAGCGCCGTCATAAAGTGAGTGGCCGTGGGGACGTGGCAGGCTGGTCACCGTTCCCCCTTCTGTGCCCTGAAATTCTTCCTTGGGTCTGGTGATGTGGCTTTGGGATCGGCGTGACTTTGCTTTGGGAACAGGCGCTTTGGAGTGGTGAGGGGTGTGGGGGTGCTGGGTGAGGTCAGGGTGGGTGCTGAGCCCGTGTTCCCTGCTCCCTTCTCGGGACACCCAGCTGCACCCATCACCCTCATCCAGGGCCTGCCCAGAGTGCCGGATCCCCTCCAGTTACTACATCCCCCACAAATACTGGATCTCAGATGTGGCTGAGAAGGAGCAGCTCATCAGAGCCTTCAAGGCACGGACAGGGTGAGTGCGTGGCACTGCTGCGGTTGCCAGGGCTGCGGGCTCCTTGTGCTGCTCTGAGAGCTACACTCACAACTGTGCTTGGAATCCCACAGGAAAATCAGGTGCAAATTCTTCCTCCGTGGCCACTGCCCTTTCAGGTCAGAGTGCATCTACCTGCACGAGCTGCCTGCCAGCTGGCTGCGGCGGCACAGGCAGCGGCAGCTCAGGATGCCCACTGTAAGTGGGGTGGCACATCCCGGGGCTGGGCTGGGCTGGGCACCGGGAGTGTGGCTCATCCTCCCTCCTCTGCTGCAGGTGTTCATCCCTTCTTCCTCGGAGAGCTCTGACGAGGAGGATGAGGAGCTCTGCACGGTGGAGTGGGCTCTTACCGTGGCCACGCTGGAGGCAGAATTTCCCCACTCAAGTTATGGCCACGAGATGTTTCTCATTGACTTCAGTGATTCCGACTGAGCCGTGGGGACCGCGCTGGGCCTGGGTTCTGCTGGTGGCCTGGACAGCAGTGTCTGTTTTGACTCCTGCCGTTGTTTTGGGGTGGCCCGAGCCGTGGGGTATTGCAGGGATGGGGTGGGATGGGGAAGCAGTCTGTCTGGCATTAGTGGGTGCACCGGGGGAGACTCAGGGCACAGCCCCCCCCTGCTCTTGCCGTGGTGCCCACTCTGCACCCGTGGGACACCCACGGGCGGGGTGGGCTGGGTGCTGGGAAGCAGCAGGGGGGGTCTGACATCCACAAGAGGGACCGGGCAGCAGGGGTGCACTGTTTTAAACCCTTTTTAGCCAAATCCGGGAATAATGAAATAAAACGGGTTGTGTAACGCTACGCTTCCTGGAGCCTGTGATCTGTGTCTGGGGGACCCACCCTCGGCGGGCAGCGGGGAAGGAAGGCGGTGTTTGGGTTGGAATTTAAGGCATGTTTGCATCACGAGCTCGTTCCGTTTGCGTTTCCCGGGGGTGGGGCCGGAAGCGGCGCCTCGGGGACAGCGGGCGGAGCGCGGCGGGGACGCGGCGGCAGCGGCCGGTGGGTGCGCGGTGACAGCCCCGAGTGTGCCCGGGCTGCCCCGGGGGCGGGTGGCAGTGCCCGGGGCACGGCAGGGACCGGGGCAGTGCCAGCGGCAGCGGTTCCCCCCGGGAGGGCAGCGGCGAGGGGCTGGGGGTGCGGGATGGCAGCGAAGGGGTGATGGAGGGCACGGGGGGACTCCCGGTGCTCCCGCATCCTCGGCTGCCACGCTGATGCCGGGGTCGGCGCCGAGCAGCCCGGGCGGGCGGTGATGGTCCCGTGCCTCCCGAGTGGGACCCGTGTCCGGTTCTCGCCGCTGTGACCGCGTCCGGATGTGACCCGTGTGCGGCTCTTCCCTTTGTGAGTCATCCGTGTCCGGTGTCCCCTGTGTATGTGAGCGTGTCCAGCTGTATCCCTTGTCCGGCTGTTCCCCGTGTGTGTCACTGTGTCTGGTCTAGCCATGTGTGTGCCCCGTGTCCCGCTGTCCCCTGTGTCCGGCTGTCCCCCATGTGTGTGACCGTGTCCGGCTGTCCCCCGTGTACTGTGACCGTGTCCGGTGTCCCCTGTGTGTGACTGTGTCTGGCTGTCCCCTGTGTCCGGCTGTCCCCCATGTGTGTGACCGTGTCCAGCTGTGTCCTGTGTCCGGCTGTCCCCTGTGTGTGTGACCGTGTCCAGTGTCCCCTGTGTGTGACCATGTCCAGCTGTCCCCCGTGTGTGTCACTGTGTCCGGCTGTCCCCTGTGTCTGGCTGTCCCCCGTGTCCAGCTGTCCCCCGTGTGTTGTCACCGTGTCTGGCTGTCCCCTGTGTGTGTGACCATGTCCAGCTGTCCCCCATGTGTGTGTGACCGTGTCCAGCTGTGTCCCGTGTCTGGCTGTCCCCCACCTGTGTCACTGTGTCCAGCTGCCCCCTGTGTGTGTGACCATGTCCAGCTGTCCCCCGTGTGTGTCACTGTGTCTGGCTGTCCCCCGTGTGTGTCCCCCGTGTCCAGCTGTCCCCCATGTGTGTCACCATGTCCGGTGTCCCCGTGTCCCGCAGGCAGCAGTGCAGCCCCCGCCGCAGCGATGGAGCCCCGGTGCCCGCCCTGGCAGCAGCTGTGCCCGCGGCCGTGCCGCCTCCTGCTCCACGCCCTGAGCTCGGGCCCGGCCGGGGCCGTGGCCGCTCTGCGGGCGCTGCAGCGGGGCCAGCCCCAGCAGGGCCCGGGGCAGCCATTCCCCTGGCAGGCTCTCACCGCAGCCCTGTGCGCCCAGGAGCCCTCGCTGGAGGGGACAAAGGACACCCTGGCTGTGTGAGTTGGATACGTTTCTAAAACTCGGTGTTTTGGGTGTCAGGTGTGTCCCAGTTTGGGAGAGCGCATCTGGTCGTAGCGGTGACCCACTGGTGTCCCAGCTTGTGTCTGCAAAAGCTGCTGAAGGCATCAGGTGCCTCCTCTTGCTCCCTGCTGCTGTGGGACTCTGCTCCACGGGGCAGGTTGGGTTCAGGACAGGGGGATTTGCTCTCACCAGTCACCTCTCCTTTTCCAGCAAGCCACGGCTGCTGCTGCTGCCCGTTTTGTGCCAGAGGAACCTCTTCTCCCTGCTCCTCGTGGTGCAGGATGCAGTGCCACGGGACTGCCTTCACCAGCTGCTCCAGGCCTTGGAGCAGGATTCCCATGTGGATCCCTGGGTGCAGACTCTGGGGGATCTGCTCCAGCAGGGACCAAGGGCAGAGGAGGGCTCCCCACGTCCCACTGCCCTGTCTGCTGTGTGCCAGCAGCAGCTCAGGGGCCTGTGCCAGAAAATTGCCCAGAAGAAACCAGAGGGACAAAGAAGATTGAACTGGTGCTTCAGCAAACAGCCTGGTGCCCCTGACTCTGTGCCTCAAGGTGGGAAGCGTAAGAAAGTGTCGGAGGAGAGCCTGGAGTCGGACAGTGAGAGACAGGGGAAGAGGTTGCTGCTGGAGGAGGTGGCATTTGAGCCCCTGGGGCCCCAGGAATGTGGAGATGTGGCAGAGGTGGAAGAGGAGGTGCCTGAGGAGCCTTCAGGGGACACATCTGCTCAGAGCATGGATAAGGCTGCTCAGGACAGCCCCCAGCAGGATGGGGAGCTCAGGAAGATTTCCCAGACAGAGCTGGCAGCAGAGGTCCAGTCCTTTGTCCAGGTACTGGGTAGGGTTTGCTGTCCCCTTCCAGCCAGTGAGCCTTTACAGCCTGATTCTCATTCCTTCATCTCATTTCCCTCAGGTGCACGGACAGGGGCTGAAAGTGCTGCTGCTGCAGGAGTCCAATGTAAGTGTTTGCTTCTGCCCCTGTCCTGGAGCTGATGCTCTAAACAGCCTCATGCCAGGGCCTCGGGAGGGGTGGAAAAGGAGGTGAATTTCACAGAGCCAACTGGATGGGGATAAAAAGCCCTGTTGGTACCTCCTCTGGGCTTGGGATAGCAACACCTGCCTGCACCTTGCAGTGTGAGGGGCTGCCTGTGGGCTCAGTGATGGGGGGAAGGGAGAAGCCCTGGAGCTATATTTTGTATTTTGGTTTATTTGGTGCATTACTCAGGATGGTGTTTCTCTCCAGCACTCCGAGCTGCACGTCCCCCCCAAGCTGAGCATCCTGAGCAGCTGCACCCCCAGCCAGGTGAGCCCCAGCATGCTGCTGCAGCTGCTGCAGGGGGCCTGCTGCTGTCCCTAATGCCCCGTGCCCTGTGCCACCCCAGCTCGAGGGGCTGTGCTCCTTCCTGCAGCTCTCCACGTGCCCAGAGCCCCTCCTGGTGCGTTTCTGCAGCTGGCTGCTGGCTCTGAGCCCCGACCTCAGCCACAGCAGCGCAGCCATCCTGGCAGAGCAGCTCTTCCTCAGGCGAGTACGTGCCAGGGCAGCAGAGTTCCCTGCTCCCCGTTCCCCTCTCCACTGTCCCCACCTCCTGCCTTTTGTGTCCCCAGGTCCTGTCCCTCTCCCAGCCACCTTCCCGACACCTCATGGCTGCCCTGACTGCGTTTTGCTCCAAGTATTCCCCTCCCTTGTGCCGTGTGCTGGTGGCTGCGGCGCTGCAGGAGCCAGGGGAAGGTGTGCTGGGCTGGTGGGAGCTGGAGAGGGGCCCAGCTGCAGAGTGCTGTTTCCTGGGGGCATTTGTCATGTGTTGGGAGCCATGGAGGCTTCAGGCTGGTTTTTCAGGGCAGGCAGACACTTGGGCTTGGGATGGGAGATGGGTTTGCAGGTGCCTGAGGTGGAGGGGGAGGGCTGGCTAGGCTGGCTGCTGGATTATTTTTTCCCAAAAGGGCTCCTGGCAGCTCCTAATGCTCAGGGCAGAGCTGCCCCAGCGTGGCTGTGCTGCTGGGAGGAGAGGGTGAGCCCCTGCCACAGTGGCATCCCCTTTTCCCAGACTGTTTAAACCCTTGCTGCAGCTGGGCAAAGGAAGCAGGATTATCCTGAGCAGTAGAAGGGGGCACTGCGTGGTTTCTGCCTGTCCTGACTGGCACATACTCCTGTGAAGAGGTGCCAGGAAGGGCCAGGCACATCCCCATGGATTTGGCAGCCTCTGGAGGCTCTCCCCTGCTGCTTTGGCCCTGCAGGTGCTGAGCAGACCAAGCTGATGTGTGAGCTCGTGGAGGAGTGCCTGGAGCCCCACTCTGTGCAGCTGCTGCTGAGGTGAGGGCTTACAGCTCTGCTTTGGCCTCACCTGGCTGGGTGCAGCTGGCTCCAGCCATCTGGGGACACCAGCAGGGCCACCTTTCCTCCTCTCTGTCCTTCCAGCCACATCCTGGAGGTGCCTTTGTCAGAGAAACTCCTGCCAGTACTGCAGGCCGTGCTGGGCCGGCAGGTGAGGAGCCCACCTTGTCCCATGGGTGTCCTTGATGACTCCAGCAGTGCTGGAGCACTCTCCTACCTGCTCCTGGGCCTTTTCCAGGAGGTGCTGCCCCCCGAGCTCTTGGATCTGCTGGTCCTGACTCTGTGCCAGCAGGCTCCAGCCTTCGCCGCGTCACTCAACTTCGCCAAGCTGGTGACAGCCGTGCTCACGGTGTACCAGAGCCAGGTGAGCCCGGCCAGGGCTGCTCCTGCAGCTCCTGGGGCCCAGCCCAGAGGTCCCAGGTGGGCTCCTGGCAGGGCAGGGCCCTGAGCTGGTGCTGCCTCCATCCCAGGTCAGCCCAGCTCACAGGAGCAGTCTGGCTGCTCTCCTGGACCGGAGCACGGCGGCGCTGAAGAAATCCCTGCAGGCTGTGCTGGGAGGGGCCAGGTGAGTGGGGACAGGGGGGTCCCTGTGCTGGGAGGGGCCAGGTGAGTGGGGACAGGGGGGTCTCTGTGCTGGAAGGGGACAGGTGAGTGGGGACAGGGGTCCCTGTGCTGGGAGGGGCCAGGTGAGTGGGGACAGGGGTCCTGTCACGGCAGGCTCAGCCCCCTGGGCTGCCCCAGGGTGGGGAAGCAGAAGGTGCCACTCCTGCCATGCCAGAGCTGTGCATGGTGGACATGGCAGTGGCTTTCCTCTTCCTGATTTTTGTCTTTCCTCAGGTGACCACCTGAAGGAATCGTGAGGGGGCAGCTGCCCGGCGTGGAGGACACTCCTTGCACAGCAGCAGCCACAGCCACCCCTCGGTGGGTGAGGTGGGACCCTGTGAGGGGGGTCTGTTCCCCCCCTGGGCCTCCTGGCAGCACCTGGCGTGAGGGGGCTCCTGCTGGCAGTGCCATCCCAGCCCCCCCACGCTCCCTGGGGCTCGGAGGGGTCTTGGTTGAACAATTCATGTGTTTCCAGGTGATCAATTCATGTGTTTTCATGTGTTTTCAGGTGAACAATTAGTGTGTTTCCAGGTGAACAATTCATGTGTTTTCATGTGTTTCCAAGTGAACAGTTCATGTGTTTCCAAGTGTTTCCAGGTGGACAATTCATGTGTTTCCAGGTGTTTCTGTGTGTTTTCCCTCGGGCCTGCCACACTCTTCAGGGTGACCTGGCCCTCCTGTGCTGGGGGCCAGGCAGGACACAGCCCATGGGGAACTTCCAGGTGCTCAGTTTTTACTGCCCAAAACCCTCACTGAACCAGGACAGACATCGATTTGAGGCTGCATGAAGATGATAATTCTGGATTTAGTTCACCATCTTGATTTGACCTCAGCTCATTCCAAGGCACGAGCTCCGTGCACGTCCACATTCCTGCTCCCAGTGGTGCAGGCTGGGCTGCTGCTTTGTGCATCTGATCTGCTGGGATTTACAGACCTCTGGGTGCAGGAGAGTGGGATTTAACTGAATTCCAGCTGAATTTAGCTGGGAAATTTGAGTGTTCTGCTTTAAATCCACCTTTCTTTCCTGTTTGCCTGGCCTGTGAGGGGCTGTGCTGTGTGTGACACATTTCTGGTGATGATGACAATACTCGTGGCCCTAATAGTGCTTGTGTGGCATGACTGCTCAAAGTTCTGTCCTGTATTCTTGAAAGTACCCACTGGAAACCTCATCTAGGCACCTCCTGGTCTGAGAACTGGGAAGAAAAGGTTGGGACAGAGTGGAGACTCAGGCAGGCAGAGCTGGGGTTTCAGAGGTTTTGAAGCATTGCATATTTCAGGAGCTATTTAAAAATCCATAAACATCTACAAAGGGAGAAGGAGAATTACAACATGCAGGTGTGACTGCTCCAGGTTTGCTCAATTTATATCCCAGCCAGAGGAAGGAAACTCTGAAGCATTAGGTGACACTTAAGGCTGAGAGCCAGGTTTCTTTATGTAAGAATCTCTTAAGCTATTTTAGGTGACAGTGGACTGATGAGGCTTCAAAGCCCGCATTAGCTGGAGGATGGAAACCTCCAGGGAGCCAGATTGTTGATGTGTTTGCATTCCAGTGAGTTAGTGGCTGAGTAAAGTGAAGCTATTGTAGGGCTGCCCAAAATACGACATAAATAGAAATTGTGCCACGATCATCAAGGTCTGAGCCTGCTCTTCTGGCTTTATTAGGTAGCAGGCTCTGATCTTTGCAGCTTCCCTGCAGAGCTTCTAGCAAGTGACCTCGGTGTCATTGTCCCCAGTGCTCTGCCTGGCTGCTGGTCACATGGAGATGGCCACTGCCTTGTGGCAAGAGCCTTCTTAGCCCTGGGTTTGCTCTTGGCTGCAGCTTATCATGTGCTGTGGGTTCCTCTGAGGTGCTCATGCAGATATCAATCATGGAAGGGAGCTGGGAGCACACCTGGGGACACTGCTTGTTTATCTGGAGGTTGGCAGCACAGAAAATTTCACTTTTGACTCCTCTTGACCCTTGCAAGAACTTTAAAAATCCATCCTGAGCAGCTCAGAGAGGTGAATGCAGCATAAACCATCAGTCAGATTTTACAGCTCAGCAGAACCTTGGCCAAGGGTGGCGGGAGTGCCAGGGCTGGCTCTGTCCTTGTCCTGGTCCAGAGCAGTGGTGGTGAAGTCTGAAGCTTTGTCTGAGACCTTTCCCAGGCTGCAGGCAGCAGGCAGAGTGTGATTTCCATCCAGTTAACTTGTGATCACTGGCAGTGCTTCCTCACCTGCTTCCTCTTCTGTTTGTAGAGTTTTACTTCACCTTACAGAGGGGAATTCCCTTTTTGGTCTCGTAGTTCTTGGGGTTTTTTTGAAGGAAACTCATCCTATGCAGTTGCATGGGTTGTCTGTCCACTCTGCTGCCTCCACACCCTGCACAGGGATTTTTGAGCCAGTTTCATGGCAAGATGATTCCTGCCCTGCCCAGGTGCCCTGTGGGGCTGTGCTCAGGCAGCAGTGAACATCTTTGGGGTGAGCAGGGCTGGGGGGTCCATGGATGTTGAACACCAGACACCTGATGCAGGGACCTTGGGCCATGCAGCACCTGGTTGGAAAGGGCTGAAACTCAGTGGCTTTCCTCAAAATAGCCTGTTTACATCCCCAAGGGGCTGCCCCTCTCCAAACAGGAGCTCCAGGTTGTTGCTGTTTCCCCCCCTGCAGTGCCAGGGGTCCCCCCACTTCTCCCTGCATGTCCAGTGGCAGCCTGCTAATCTCACCTGTAATTCCAAACGTGCTGGTGCAGTTCTGCCTGCAAACCTGGGGGCTGTGACACCCAAATGTGAGCCTGAACTGCTCTGGCAGAGGCTCAGCAATATTTATTTTTTTTCACTTGGGGTTTAAAACTGAATAAAAAAGAAGAACAATTTTCCTTCTTGTCTGTTTGGTGTTTTTTGGGGTTTTTTTTTGGTTTTGTTTTTTTTTTGCCAACAAACTTTTAATCATAAGACAAGAATTGTGTTCTCTCTGGGATAGCCTGGTGGCTGCCAGGTTCCTGTCAGCTAGGGAAGCCAGGGCCACAGAAAGGTGGGTTTGAGGGAGGAGGGCTGGGGGGTCCATGGATGTTGAACACCAGACACCTGATGCAGGGACCTTGGGCCATGCAGCACCTGGTTGGAAAGGGCTGAAACTCAGTGGCTTTCCTCAAAATAGCCTGTTTACATCCCCAAGGGGCTGCCCCTCTCCAAACAGGAGCTCCAGGTTGTTGCTGTTTCCCCCCCCTGCAGTGCCAGGGGTCCCCCCACTTCTCCCTGCGTGTCCAGTGGCAGCCTGCTAATCTCACCTGTAATCCCAAACGTGCTGGTGCAGTTCTGCCTGCAAACCTGGGGGCTGTGACACCCAAACGTGAGCCTGAACTGCTCTGGGGGAGGCTCAGCAATATTTTTTTTTTTTCACTTGGGGTTTAAAACTGAATAAAAAAGAAGAACAATTTTCAATATTTTCTGTTTGGTGTTTTTTGGGGTTTTTTTTTGGTTTTGTTTTTTTTTTGCCAACAAACTTTTAATCATAAGACAAGAATTGTGTTCTCTCTGGGATAGCCTGGTGGCTGCCAGGTTCCTGTCAGCTAGGGAAGCCAGGGCCACAGAAAGGTGGGTTTGAGGGAGGGCTGGGCTGCTGTTTTGTGCCTGAGCCCCTGCACAGCCCTGTAAATCAGCTTGCTGCATCAGTGGCAGCAGTCAGTGGCAGCCTGAGCAGCTTTCCTCCAAGCAGTGAATAATCCAGATGACCACCCTGTGATCTGAGCTGCGAGTTCAGCTCGAGCTTCGGGTGCCCTGGGAGGTGCTGCTGCCCCGAGGGACCTGCCTGGAAGGAGGACAGGGGACAGAGCTGCAGCCACATGCTGCCCCTGGGCTGGAGATCTCCCTGCAGGCTCCGGTTCCTCCCCGCTGAACAGGTCTGTGTGAGGGGGAACGGGGCTGCTTTTCCTGCCTGGAGCCTCTGCCATGCCTAGCAGTCACGATTTAGCTGCTCCCAGCTTAAAAATAAGAATGCCTAAAAAATCCCCGCGTGCTTTGTGAGGTGCTTTCAGAGGCTCTTTGAACTGGTGGTTTGTGAGCAGGGGCATTGCCTCCTGTGAGCCCTCCCTCGTGGACCTGCAGATTTGGGACAGAAGGAGGATTTTTTGGTGGCTGTGGGAGGGAACAGAGGCACCGGTGCCGTGTGTCCTTGGCTCTGTGTGCCCCACGGAGGTGCCAGCCTTGCTGCCCCTGGGGAGGAAGCTGGGGCTCTCTGCCAGGGGTCCCCACCTCCACCACCCCTGTTTTGTAACCGGGGGCTGCACTCTGCGCTCTCACTCTGGCAAAGCCTGCCCGGGCGCTGGGAGATGCTCTTTGCCCTCTCAGGGCTGGAGGGGTCTGCAGCCCCCAAGGGGTCCCTGGGCTTGGGGGGCAGCAGCAGCTGCTCCGGGTAGGGCTGAAGGTGGAGCCCGAGCCTCTGTAAGCTCATTAGGGGAAGAAAGCGGCTTTGGATATGCGATGGATCCGAGCAAAGGGCTTGGGGCACTGGGGGATGGCCGGGGGGAAGGTGGGGCTGCTGAGGGGGGCAGCAGGGACGGGGGTCCTGGGCAGAGCGGCTTCCCTGCATCGCCGAACACCATGATACAGGGGCTTCCCGCTCTGCCCGTCCCCGGAGCGGGTGCAGGACCTGGCTCCTCACCAACAGCAGAGGTTTCCCGGCCACCTGCGGACCACTCCGCCCGCCCTGGCCGGCGCGGGGAGCTCCCGGGCTCTCTCACGCATCTCCTTTAAAGGGCTTCTCTCCTCGGGCTCGGCCCCGGCTGCTCCTTCTGCCGCAGATGCGGCTGCTGTGCCCGCGGAGGCAGCGGGGCCGCCGCAGCCCCGAGCCCCGAGCCCGGCCGGGCTGATGGGGACCCCGCAGAGCTGAGTGCCGGCTCCGAGCTGGGGGCCCGGATCTGCCTTCGGCTGCTCCGGAGGAGCTCAGGCAGGTAAAGATGTCCCGGGGAGCGTTTGGTCGTCGCTGAGTTGAGGGAAAGGCCGGTCTGGCATCTCAGGGGGTTCCTTGTGCTAAAGCAGCTGCGGGTCTGGTATCTTTTCCATCTGTGGCACCAAGATAAGGAGCGAGTGTCTGTGAGGCTGTGGGAGCTGCGGGAAAGCAGCAGCCGGCAGGGGCTGTGATGGATTGAGGGCTTTGCAGCAGGGACCAGCCCTCCAGAGCGCTCTGATGCTGCTGCTGGGATGAGTTTGGCTGATCCCTGCTGGCTGGAGGCCCTGAGCCCCTGGGTGGAGGTTTCGGCGATAATTCCCACTGTATAGGTGTGAAACGGGCTGGCTTTGACAGGTGCCAAGCGCTGCTTTTTACACCTTCATCAGAGCTGAGCGGGCACTGGGAGCTGGGCGAAGCTGAGCTTGGCCAAGGCTTTGCACAGGCACGTGGGAATTCAGGCAGTCCCTGCTCCCTGTCCCCCTAGATCTCTCCTGAATTTCCTGTCTTGGACAAAAAATTCCCCTTCTGTCCTAAATCTGCGTGTCCATGAGCACCGGGACAGCCCCTTGTGCACAGCGACTTCACCCTGGGCTGGGAGAGGGACTTTGTGGGCTTCCTGCATCCTTCTCTGATCCTCTAAACATCGTAAAACAGCTTAAATGGCTTCTCCAAGCCCCCTTATATCTGGAAATCTTTTATATCTGTCTCTCTGGGAGCTCAGGGACTGTCGTGTCTGCAGCCTGGGGAGGAGAGGGTTGCTGCAAATCCACGTCCCCCCAAGAAGCTGACCCGCACCACAAACCCAAAATGAGGATTGCCCTGGGGGAAGGAAATGGGGGTGGCAAGCAGGAAAGCCCACCCTGTTAAATTTGCCATTTGCCTCGCTCCATGCCCGCCCAAATCCCTTCAGCCTCCTCCTGAATCCCAGCGGGCCTCCCCACCTCTTTTCCCGCAGATGCCTCCACGCTAAAGCAGAGGAGCTCGAAGCTCCTGCTGGGTGAGAAAACGCTTTAAAAATATAACATTTAGAGGCGTTCTCCATCTGCGCGCTGCTAATGCGGGTCTCTCACCATAGGTGTGCTGCTCCTGGAGCCTCTGCACGCCCCAGATGAAGGCGCTGGAGGGGAGCTCGCCGGGACAGGGCGAGGAGGAGCCGCCGGGACCGGCCCAGGGGCGCCGGCGGCGGCAGCGGCAGAGGGCGAGCTGCCGACCCAGCCCCTCACCCCGCAGGTATGTGCACAAAAAGCTCCCCCCCAGAGGTTCTTGGGGTGCCGGCAAGGATGGGACACGGACGGCAGTGCCAGGCAAGGGGCACTGAGCATCGTTTTGGAGTGGTGGCAAAATTCTCCTGCAGCCACTGCTCTCAGGCTCGCCAGGAGGAGAGGGAGAAGCTCTGCTGCGGCTTCCAGGGGGAAAAGTTTGGGGGTTCAAAGTCTCTCCCAGCTGGGCGCTGGGCTCTGCACAGCAGCCCCTGTGTCTCCAGGCACTGGTGACCTGTTATCAGCACCAACGAGCAGGGATGCTGCAGAGCTGCCAGACTTCCTGGCGCCCAGGAGTGGGTTTTGGGGTGATAAACCTGTCCCGGTGCACTTTTACGGGGGTCTGCCATCCCCGTGGGGTGCTGTGCTGTGAGATGATGCCTGCCTGGGCTCTGGGTGTGCTGTGGTACTGGAAGAGGCCGGCTCGCAGCGAGGTCCGCTTGGCAGCCAGAGCGAAAAAAAAAAAAAAGGAAGAAAAAAAAAAAAGAAGATAGTGCTGAGGCTGGTGACTCATTGCTGGCTGGAAACGGCTTCGCCGGGTCCTCTGTGGGGCTCTGCGGCGGCGGCAGGAGCGGAGGGGGCGGCTCGCAGAGCGGGACGGGGACGGAGCAGGCTGTGGAGGATGCTCGGGAAGGACCCAGGTCCGGAGCAGCCCCACGGAAGGAGCTGGGGCAGCGTGGGGAGTGGGATGCTGCCGATGCTTCCTGAGTTTCTTTAGCGTTTACCCGGGATTCCCTCCACAGGGAGCAGCAGGCAGAGCTGGCCGGGCTCCCCCCATCTCCGGATGAAGGTAAGGGCAGCCCAGGCGGGGATGGGGTCACAAGGGTGGGTTTTCCACCCTCCCTCCCTGGGCAGCAGGAGGGTGTCCCCTGGCCTGGCAGCACCTGCCTGCAACCCCTTCCAGCCCTGGGACCCCAGCCCCATCCCCTGGATTTGCCTCACCAGCTGCAGCCCACCCTCTGCACTGGATCCTCCTCCCCCTGACCTGGCTCAGTTTAGCTCCAGCTCCCTTAATCCCACAGGGATTTTTGGGGGTACCTGCCACCTGACGTCCCTTGGGAGCCTGCAGGCTGCAGAAGTGCCAGTGGCAGTTTTGGGGGGTCTCTCCTGAAGTGGTGTCAGGCCGGGGAGGGGTCCCTGCTGCCCAGCCCCCAGCAGCCTTTCTGTCCCCAGGCAGGATGAGCAGTCCCCAGGGACACCCAGCTGGGGTTTTGGCCAGGAGCGAGCAGAGCGTGGAGCAAGTCAGCGAGGTGAGAGGGAGGTGACAGTGGGGGACAAACCCTGCCTGGTTCCTTGGGCTCAGGCAAGCCCCCAGCCCCTCTGTGCTGCTCTTCTCGGGGTGCTGTGCAGCACCAGGGAGAGGTTTGCCCCAACAGCAGCTTTGTGCCTCTCAGGAGCCAGGCAGGGCCGTGCAGGAGCAGGCTGTGCACCCTGGGGACAGTGACAGGACTGAAGGAGGTGGGTGAGTCCCCATCTCACATCCTAGCTGGGTCCCCTTAGGGGGAGGTTTGAAGAAGCTGGGGATGAGCTCGGGAACATGTTCTGGTGAGGGTCACCTCCCCTGGTGGGGACATGGGCAAGGGGAGACTGGCCTGGGAGGAGCCAAAGCCCCCCTGATGCTGGGGAAGTTTTGGGATGGTTCCAAAAGAGGGGCAGCACCCCCTGCTAGGACAGGAGGGCAGAGGGAAGAGGGAAGGCCCAGGGAAAGCCCTCATGTGGGTCTCTTGTGGCCCCACTGCCTTCCTGCAGGTGCAGAAACCCTGGAGGAGCCGCTGCTGAGCCTCCCCAGTGAGCTCTCAGTGCTGGACAGGCTTGGCTTGCACAGGTAAGACCAGTGAGCACCTGCATCCCTCTGGGGGTGCAGGACAGGGGGGTCCCAGGGCTCAGAGATTGGACTTTCCTCCTTTTCCATTGCACAAGAGTTGCTGTCCACACAATGGGCACTTGGCTTCCCACTCCTCGTGGTGGCTGGCACCCCTGGGAGCAGAGCAATGCCATTTTCATCATGCAGCCCCCATGATGCCACCATCTCTGACAGCAATTCTCTTTCTGCAGGGTGGCTTTGACCGAGCAGGATCTGGAGGTGAGGGCTGTTGGGGGCCGTGGGTGGGCTGGGGAAAGGGGACACAAGGACAGACACCGTGCTGGCTGTGCCCTGCTCCTTCAGCACCGCAGGCCCCTGGCAGCCACCTCATCAACCCTTTCCCAGAGATGCTTTTGGCAATTGGAGGCAGCTGCATTTCCATGAGCCCGTCCTCTGCGTGCCCGGCAATCCCACAAAGTGCTCTGCAGCTGCCGAAGAGCGCCCTTAGCCGGGGAGGCGGCGGGAGCCTCGCTAATAAAAATAATTTCCCTGCGAGTGCCAGGGCTGAGTCAGGCTCAGCCACCAGCCAGGACCTGCAGCGAGGGCTGGCGTCTGCCTGGCGTGTGCTCCTGCCAGGAGGGCTCAACATTTCCGTGTCTTATCAGCTGCCTGGGGGACGCTCAGCTGCCTGGGGGACGTGTCTCCCCGGGCTGGCATCTCAGGGGACTGTCCCCAGCATGCAGCAGCCTGAGGGTGCTGGGGCAAGGCAAGTGCTAATTGTCTTCAGCACTGCCCTGGTTGGTGGCACGCTGGGAGGTCTGTCTGTGCCTTGGGGACAGCAGCACGTGGCCCTGGTGGCTTCCCTTCTACCTCTCACCCCGCAGGCAGCCTTTGCCCACCTCGCCCTGGCTTTTCGCTGCGACGTGTTCACCCTGCAGCAGCGGGTGCAGGTGGAGAAACGGGCACGGGATGCAGCAGAGGAAAACATCCAGGAGGAGCTGGGGCAGTGCCGGGCTGCCCTGGAGGTAGGTGGGCACCGGGGCAGGGGGCTGGCACGTGCTGGCATCACCCAGCCCCAGAGGGGTTTGGACAACTCAGAGTGCCAGCTCCAGCAGCTCCATCCTTTCCCCCCACAGAGGCTGGGCCGGTCCTGCGCCAATGCAGGCTGCAAGGAGACGCTGCAGCAGCTGCAGCACAACCTGGCCGTGCTGTCAGCAGCCGTTGAGCGGGCAACCAGTGCCGCAGAGAAACTGGGGGCTGTGCACCAGGTGAGTGATGGAGGTGCTACACACAGGCTTGGGGACTCATCCTTGGGCTTGCTGGGGTTTGTCCCTCCTCCTTGACCTCATGTTTGTGCTCAGCAGGGTGCGAGGGATCCATCCAGCTGCCCGGGGAGCGGGCAGGGGATGCACCTGCACTGCCTGGGGGGAGGCACGGGGAGGGACTGGCAGAGAGCTGCTCCTTAGAGACTCAGGGGCCCTGATCCCCCATCCCAACTGGCTGCAGGAGGCCCGGATGAGCCGAGCAGCAGAGGTGATGGTCCAGCACGTGGAGAACCTGAAGCGGCACCACCAGCGGGAGCACGCGGAGCTGGAGGAGATGAAGCGCCTGATCCAGCAGAACTCCCGCAACCGGCAGCTGGCAGAGACCCAGGGTGAGGTGGGCTCTGCCACCGGGGCCTGGGCAGGGCTGGCACCCTGCAGCAACCCTGCAGGGCTCGGTCCTGAGCCCCTCTGGGGGGTCAGTGTGACCTGCACCACAGAGCCAGTGGTGCTGTGAGTTGAGGGCTGCTAGGGGGGAGCAGCTGGTGGCGTGGTGAAGGGAACAGCTGGTGGCAGTTGTGAGGGGACAGTGGAACAGCAGATCAGTGTGGGAGCAGGTGCTGGCAGCCAGAGAGCCATAACCCAGCTGGGAATGCAGGGCAGGGGGGCCCCTGCACAAAAAGGGCTCTGTTCCTGAGCACCAAGTCCCACAGGTGCCACTGTGGGCACGGCACCAGGTCCCCCTGCCTGGGGCACCACCTGTGCCAAGCACAGAGCACATGGCCAGGACAGCTTTCAGTGACAGGGAGCTTTGTGACCTTCTGTCACATCTTAGTGCTGGGGATGATGTAAGGCAGCTTCTCTTTGCTCTCAGATGATGTGGAGCCACGGCTGAGACCTCACCCCCTGAAGAGAACTTTCCAGCAGGTAACTGGTCCCAGTTCAGGAGCCTTGGAGCCACTGCCTCCCCATGCCCTGCTGCCCTCCCTCACCTGGCTGTCCCCACACACCCACCTGTCCCCAAACAATGTCACTGCAGCCAGCTGCTTGCTGCAGGGAAGATCTGCTGGGATGAAACAATGCAGGGGCAGCCTCGGAGAGCTGTTGGTAGTCAGACAGGATGCTCAGCAAGCTGAGGGCTGCCTGTGCAAGAGATCTTAGGCAGATCCTTCTATTGCAGGGTCGTAGTGCAAGACCCTTAGCCTGGGCTGTATCCAACACTGATCCCCCTATAGCTCCAGAGGCAGGGGAGGGGGTCAGGCAGCCCCACCAGCACAGCTTGCAGCAGTAGTGACAGGCACAATCCTCTTGGCTTTGACCTTCCCTGGCTTTCCAGCTTCCCCTCTTAGCTCCAGTGGGAGCTGGCAGTGTCCCGTGGTGTCCCTTGGCTGTGCTGGGGAGGTGATGGGGAAGGAGGAGGTGAGAAGCACAAGGCTCACCCCCAGCCCCTCTGTTGCAGGGCTCTGCCCGCCGCAGGGTCAGCATCGCCGTCATCCCCAAGCAGCTCTTGGTAAGGACCTGCTGGGTGGGGACAGCCAGCAGCTGTGTCCCCAGCCTCGCTGCCACCGCGGCTGCGTGTCCCCACTGATGCTCCCCCCTTGGGTGCCCAGCCAGGTGCCAGCCCTGAGAGCCGAGCAGCCCCCGCAGGTGACCTGGAGCCCGAGGGGGCCCAGCGCTGGCCCAGCACCCAGAGGTAACTGCGCTGGGTGGCCGTGGCACCTGCTGCCACTGGCCCACGTGGCACAGCACTGACCCCGTCCTCTCCCTCCCCAGGAGAGAGCTGGAGCCACAGGGCCAGGACAGCGCCGTGACAGAGAAGCTGGTGGCAGAGGCAGATGGCAGAGGCTCAAGCGCAGGGAACGAGGAGCCGGAGCAGCTTGGGCTGACGTGAGCAGCACCCTGCGTGTGCCCAGCACCCTGCGTGTGCCCAGCATCCCCCCACGGCTGCTGGCCTCTCTGTGGTCCCCAGCACTTGGGCAGGGGGCTGGGGGATTTAGTGGTGGAAGGCTGGGATGTTGCCCATGCCCTCTTCAGGCTTGTTCACTTGGGTTTGTAACAGGGCAGTGAGGTTTGGGGCCGAGTTAAACATCCCCCTTGTCCCCAGATGGGGTGGAGGTGGGATTTGCTCTCCCCCACGGATGACAAGTGTCCCTGGTCACCTTCTCCCCAGGTCCAAGGGGTCTGCAGCATGGGGTGGAGGTGGGATTTGCTCTCCCCCATGGATGACAAGTGTCACCTTTTCCCCAGGTCCAAGGGGTCTGCAGGGGAGCTGTGGCGTCCATGGCTCTTCTTCCCACAGCACTACTGGCTTTTCTTCTGGCTGCTTCTCCTGAGCATCGCCTTCCTCCTCCTCGTCCGTGTCCTGGAGCTGCAGCGGGTGCAGTCTGCAGCATCATCCAAGGCCTAGCTGGACCAGGGAGGGGCAGCTCAGAGGCATCTCTGCTCCTTCCCCACGTCCTAAAACACCAAACCCCTAGAATAATAAAATGGGAGGAAAAATGGGGGAATTGTAATGACGGAGCAGGGGCTAGGATCTAAGGTAGGATCTGTGGCAGGATCTAAGCTATGGTTGGCACCTCCATATAACCAGGGAGCTGCAGAGCTCTCACTGATGCTGTGAGTTGCCTGTTCTCAGCACATCGAGGGGTGCAGATGTGCTCCCACACATCCCCTGTGCTGGGGACAGCCCGGGCTGCCTACGGCCGTGGGTTTCTTTAGACCACATCCCCCTCAGTGCCACCACAGTCCCTGCTGTAATTCACATCTAACGCCCCTTTGCTGCTGCCCGGGGGACGATGCTGGGCTGGAGGACACAGATCGGTGACCAGCCTTTCCCACGGCAGGCTCACAAACAGAGGGAGCTCTTTCCGACCGCTCGGTTTGACACACACGCCCCGTTTCCGTGTCCGCCCCAGCCTCCCGCTGAAACACGGGTGGGTTCCACTGCTCCACCCGGAGCCAGCGGCTTTGCGGGGACCAGCAGAGCCCGGCCGAGCTGCCCCGGTGGGGGTTCAGCACCAGGATCCCCAGGAAGGCTCGGAGGGGCTGCAGATGGAGGCGCCGGGCTGCTCACCCTGCTCGCCGTAGCCGCCGGCAGTGCCACGGGTGACTCAGGGTGACCGACGTGAGCAACGCCCGGTCGCCAGCTCGCCCCGTGCCCCTGAGTCACCGGCCACAGCCTCTGTCAAGTTGTCCCCGTGCGTCACAGCCCCCCGGCCGTGTCACTCGTCCCAGCACACCGCCAATGTCCAGCAGCACCCCGAGAGCACCGCCACCAGAAAACCCAAAAGCACCCGGCCAGCGGCGATCCTCGGTGACCCCCGGGGGCTCCCCCGCCCGCCCCAAGGTACCCTCACCCCGCCGGGACCGTCCCCACACGGGCGAAATGGAAAAATAATCCCCGAAGTTTCCACTCGTGGTCGGGGTCCGGAGCTGGCACTGGGTGGGTCCCCCCCCGTGGGTCCCCCCCCAGACCCTGCCGTGTCCCCAGCACCCTCCTGGCCGGTTTCAGCACAGCGGCACAGTGGGAAGGGTGTGAAGCCGTTTGGTTTCATCACCCGAATTTTTTTTTGTTTGCTCGGCGAAAAGTCTGGTTTCTCACGCAAAAATACAAAAAACCAAAAAAAAAAAAAAACCAAAAAAAAAACCCAGCTGGGGTTGCGCTGTGCCGCTCGTCCCGCCGTTCCTCCGGCGCGACATCCGCAGCGGCACAAAGAGGGGTGGCCCGGGGGCCGCCCCTGTCCCGGCACCGCCCGGCCCGGGTCCCCCCGGCCGCGGGGGAGGGTCGGGCAGGCGAGGGGAGGGGAAGGCCGAGGAGGGGAGGGCAAAGGAGAGGAGGGCCGGGCCGGCAGCTGCTGCTTGCAGAGCCGGAGCTCGTTTCCTGCTCGCTATCGCCCGGCTGCGCCCAGCTCCGGTCCCTCCCCGCGCCCCGGTCCGTGCCTCAGTTTCCCCTTCCGAGGGGCTGTGGAGGTGAGTGGAGGGTGAGGATGGGCAGAGCATCCTGGGCGTGGGGAGGTCAGGGCGCTGCTGCCCCCCGGCCCCGTGTGCCCCCGCTCGGTGCCAGCATCCCGAGCTCCGGTGCCCTCCGCCCGCCCCGCTGCGAGCATCGCTGCGCAAGGCGGGGACGGGGCTGACAAAACCGAGCGGTGATTCCGCCGTGCTGGCGAGGGCTCAGCCCCCCGAACCCGTGTCCTGCTTGTCCCTGGGACACTCCGTGGCAGGGCAGCGCTTTTTCTCCGGCTGACCCCTCCCCGCAGCCCCTCCCGGGGGCAGCGGCGTCCCCCCTGCTCCATCCTCGCTGCTTTTCCCCTCCAGCCGCTGATCTTTGCTGCCCTCGGGACAAAGGGGAAGGAGAGCAGTCCCTGCTCATCCTCCTCCTCCTCCTCCAGGGCTCCCGTGAGTAGGATGGGGAAGAGCTTTGCTAAGCTCCATGAGGGATGCCCTGTGCATCATCTCGGAGATGTCTTTGTCGCAGATGTGTTGGGGTAAAGGAGAAGTAGGAAGAGGAGAATGATGTGGGGTGTGAAACCTGGCCGTGACCAGACTTCCTCTTTTTACCAAAATTCAGCTGCAAGAGGCAGGTCCTTCTGTGGGCTGGTGCTGGGCAGGGGAACAGGCTGAGCAGCAAAAATAGGGGGGCACGTTTGCTCCCCCCCAAGTGTTGTCTGTGCCCAGGGCTCCCCGGGACGTGGCCAGGCTGTGGTGTGTGGATCCCTGGAAAAGCTTAATGCAGGTTTGGTTTGTCCCCTCTCCTCAGCCCTTCCTCCCACAGCTCCATGCTGGGGCCTTGCAAAGCTGGGGTGTGCTCATGCACCCACATCCCTGCCTCACACCAGAGGAGCTGACAGAGCTTCCCCCTCCCTCCAAGGATTAAAACCCACCCAAATCAAGGCAAATTTCTGTGGCATTGACCAGGGTGATCTCCCTGCCCAGTCCCACACCTGGGGTGTTTCTCCTGAGCACAATAACACTTGTAAGGGCTCCCAGTGCCTTCACCCCTTCCTGACACCCTCCCAGCTCAGCTGGTGGCTGAAAGCAAGGCTTTGGCCCAGCTGTTGGGTGGTCACAAGAAACCCTCCATCCACCCCTGGCCTTTCACTGGAGGGGCTCTCCTGGGGTCCAGACCAGCTCAGCAGCCTGGCCTATGGTGTCCAGGCTGGATCCCAGACCTGGAAGAGCCCATCCATGCTGGGAGCCTGGATCCCAGACCCAGGACAGCCTGTCCATCCTGGGAGCCTGGATCCCAAACCCAGGACAGCCCATCCATGGTGGGAGCCTGGATCCCAAACCCAGGACAGCCCATCCATGCTGGGAGCCTGGATCCCAGACCCAGGACAGCCCATCCATGCTGGGAGCCAGCGCAGCAGCAGCGAGCCGATCTGCTGACAATCCTCCCAGCTTTCATCAGCTCTGGAGCTGTGTCCTTTCCCACCCTATTTCCATGTGCCTGGGAACCACGTGAGCTCCCAAGCAGCTTCCCCCACCTTCTCCCAAGAGGATGCTTCTCCTGCAAGGGCAAGAGGGAGACTCTGACCCACAGGGCGGGATGGGGTGTCCCTGCTCCGGGGGTGCCCCCATGTCTCAGACCTGGCTGATGTCCCCACAGACATTTCTGCAGCCAACCAAAGCTGACATGAGATGAGTCAGGGCTGGCTGCAACCCCCCCTCCTCCCTGCTGCTTGCAGGAACAGTGTTAGGGGAAAAAATGCAAGAGGCTTTGATGGAAGGAGCAGAGCCAGAGGCAGCCTAGCACAGGCTGTGCCCTCCTCCACTGCCTCTGGCCTTTGTGGGCTGGAAGCTGGGGTTTTGTATCAAGCCTGCAGGAACTGAGCTTTCCTAGGAGTTTCTGACCTTGCTTGCAGTTCTCAAGGGGGTTTGAGTGTGCCAGAGAGCTGGCAGGATAATCCTCTCTGTAGGAAACTGTGTAACACAAGGCTTGTTGTTCTGCCTCCTCTGAGCCTCCCTGCCGGAGCGTAGGGGCTGCAGAGCTTTCCCAGGCAGCACGCTGCCCCTGGCATCCCATCCAGTGGGAATCAAGGCCGAGATGGGCTTTTTCCAGAGCCAGGAGCTGCTGAGGCTGGAGTAGATGCTCCCAGCCTGAGCACTGCCTTTGCCCATCACCCTGGGGCTGCTGAGGTGGCCCTGGAGGTGCCAGAGCAGTGACTGGAGCTGCTGGGGGACAGCCCATCTGCACGGGGCAGCCAGCTCTGCCTGGGCAGCCTCCCTGGCACGAGGATGGGTGGGAGCACCGCAAACTCCCTGGGGAGGTTCCCAGCGCTGCCTCAGTTTCCCCAGCCACATCCTGTGTCGTTAGCAGCGCTCAGAGGAGGAGCAGAACTCTGTCCTCAGCTCTCACAGGCCTGTCGTGAGTGCACGGGCCATGTCCTCTGTCCCCACGCTGCCACTCCAGTGTGTGCCAGCCCCTGCTGTGCCCCGCTGGGTGCCTTGTCCTACGTCTGCCCAGGAAGGAAGGGGTTAAAATGCCCGGATTTCCTGAGTGTGATGCTGGAAGGGAAGGTGACCTGCAGAAGTGATTGGAGGGAAGGTGACCTGCAGAACTGCTTTGCAAAGCACAAGGGGGTTTTTTTGTTTGGTTTTTATTTTTTTGGGTTTTTTTTTTTTTTTTTTTTTTTTGCAAGTTCTGCTGTCGGGAAAGTCCTGAGCGAGGCTGAACCAGAAATCCAGCCAGAATACGGCCTTTCCAGCCAAAATTTAAGCGCTTAAGTAACTCCTTTCTCCGCACACCCCCAGCCCCCTCCTCCTGCGGGCTGCCTAATTTATTCACGACATCCTTGTCCCACTGCCACTTTCCGGGTGCTGCCACGTGCCCACGGTGACACTCGGCGGCCGGAGGGCAAAGAGCTGCGGTTCAAAGGTGGAAGCTCTGCGTCTTCCCGAGCTTTTCCAGAGGATCCTCCTTGGCAGCCCCTTGTCTCTGCCGTGTCTCTGCTGGGCTGGGGGAGCCTTTCACAGCCCTGGGCTTGGCCACAGTGGCTGGAAAAGGCAAAATTTTGTTCTTGGTGCTCGGGATGGCAAGAAAGAGGACACAGGCTGGTGCTCAGGGCAGTGTTGGGAGAGAGAAGTGAGGGGAACTGGTTCCCTGGGAGAAGCCAGGGGTAGGGGGTTTTGGGAGGCTTAGGGGGAAATGTGCTGTACCCTTTCTCTCACAGCTTCTGTGGCACGATGGGGCTGCTTGTAGGGTGATTTGACTTTTATTTGATTTCCTCACCGGTGCTTCCTCTGTGCTAATCTGCTTCCACCCACTGCAGGAGTGGTAGAAGGGGAGGTGGGGGAAAAGGTCATCCCATTCCAGCTGGGGGATGGATCCAACCCCGCTCCCTCTGGCCATGGGGCTGGGCCTGCTGGTTCCTGCAGCAGCTGTGTGGCTGATTCCTAAAGCCAGGAGCTCCCTCCCATCCCCCCCAGTGAGGCCGAGGCTGCAGAGGAAGGAAGTGGTGTCTTCTCTCCAAAACTCGCTCTGCTCTTGGCTGTTGCAGGTA